TCATCAAGTTTTTAACTTGTTCTTTTTGGTGAATGTTCAAATGTCCAAGTTTGGCATCCAAATTAGCCAAAACTTCTGAGTTTTGCAAACGAACACTCTGATTACAATCTTTCTCATTCATTTCTACACTCGTATCACTTTCAATACAATTTTGAACAGTCTTAGCATTGGCTAAAGTGGAAACTGGTTTTACAGAATTTCGGTCACACCTTTCAAAATACTCTTTTAACATGTTAATGTGACAAACCCGTTTCTCTTTACGTCGACCTGGTGTCTTAACTACATAGTTAACATCACTGATCTTGCTTTCAATTTCATAAGGGCCATAAAATCTGGCCTGTAAAGGATGACCAGGAATAGGTAAAAATACAAGAACCTTATCACCTGGCTTAAACACCCTATTTCTGGCATCTTTGTCATACCACATTTTCATTTTCATCTGAGAACTCTTCAAATTTTCTTGTGCTAATTTACAAGCATTGTAAAGTTTTTCTTTGAAATCAGACACATAATCTAAAAGATTAAGATCCCTAGTCTCAGTCAGCCACTTTTCCTTCAACAATTTCAAAGGACCCCTAACCGTATGACCAAACACCAATTCAAAAGGACTAAACCCAAGAGACTCCTGGACTGCCTCTCGTGCAGCAAATAGTACAAGATGAACCCCTTCATCCCAGTCTTTTTCATACTGGTAACAATAGGTCTTTAGCATTGTTTTTAGGGTTTGATGAAAACGTTCTAGCGCTCCCTGGGACTCAGGATGATAAGCAGTTGATTTATACTGCCTTATACCCAACTCATGCATGACTTGCTGGAACAACCCCGACATAAAATATGAGCCTTGATCCGACTGAATTGCCTTTGGTGCTCCTACAAAACTGAAGAACTTGGTTAAGGCCTTAACTATGCTCTTTGCCTTTATATTCCTAAGAGGTATGGCTTCGGGGAATCGAGTGGATGTACACATAATGGTAAGTAAATACTGGTTCCCAGATGTGGTCCTAGGCAAAGGTCCTACACAATCCACCAACACTCGACTAAACGGTTCTTCAAAAGCTGGAATTGGTTGGAGAGGGGCGGATGGTATCTTCTGATTCGGTTTACCTACCATCTGACAGACATGACACGACTTACAAAACTCAGAAACATCCTTCCTTAGTTTAGGCCAATAAAAATGACTCAAAATCCTATTATAAGTCTTATTGATACCTAAATGACCAGCCATAGGTGTATCGTGAGCTAAACTCATGACATCTCGACGATAAGCAGCTGGGACCACTATCTGGTGAACAACACGCAACACTTCATCTGGGGAAGCGTCAGGTGGTCGCCATTTTCGCATAAGGATGCCATCTTTCATATAGAAGCATTCTCCAACTTTAGTAGCCTCTTCTGGTGGAAGTGCCCTCTTACTAAGTTGAATGATATCTGGGTCTTTATATTGTTCAGAGAGTAAACGTTCTCGGCTGAGGATGTCCTTGCCTTGGCTTTCTGGTAGATTTGACTTATCTTCATTACCACTAAATTTTGATAAAGGTTCCTTCGTCACCGACTTCTTGATATTGTGTGGTTCCATGTTTGTTTGAGTGTCATTAAGGTCAGATAAGAGAGTGTCATTCAAATCAATATCAACAGAGGAATTCGTCTCGTCAAAGGCTTGAGTATGGTCTGCCTCCATTTCTCGTCTTCTGGCCATCGCTCTAGTAACAGCACAGGCTGGATAAATGTCATCATTTTCATCATCGCACATGACATCTGGAGTGATTTTCTCACAAACTATAGGATCTGGTACAACTTTTCCACCAGCTAAATCGTTGCCTAGCAACAAAGAAATGCCTGGAACGGGAAGAGTAGGTCGAACACCTACGATAACTGGTCCAGTGACTAAATCTGACTTCAAACTAATTCTATGCAAGGGAACATCAATGACGCCTAGCTCCACACCCTGTAATAAAACTGACCCACCAGTAGAAGTCTGCTCAGACAAAGGAAGCACGCCCTCTAACAATAATGTCTGTGCAGCACCAGTATCTCTCAAAATCTGGACAGGTTTTATTTCGCTAGAGTCACCGAGTGAAACAAATCCCTGAGACATAAAGGGCTTATAATCCTCCATAGAATCAATAGCACTGGACTGTGAACCCTGGACATCAGGAGTGTCAGAACAAATCGAAACTAAGGCTTCTCTATCACCTCTAACTGCCGCACAAGCATGTGGTTGAGTTTTATCAAAATCATTTTTTCTCTTAAGTTTAAAGCATTCACTGATCAGATGACCCTTTTTCTTACAATAACTACAAGTAGGAAGCGACCCTATTCCAGAAGATCCTTCAAAACGTCCTGGACCGGACTTAGAACCACCTTGGGATGGAGACTGGGAACTTGTGAAAGACTGAGACCCTGAACCACTCTTTTTATATGTGTCTGAATTGGTAGAATTACTGCTAGTCTGAGTTCTTGATACAAAATTCTTTTTATGAGACAGAGCATAAGTATCAGATATGACTGCTGCCTCTTCAAGAGTTTTCACATTCTTATCTTCTAAATGTGTTTTCAAATCTTGAGAAACACATTCCTTAAACTCTTCTACCAGGATGACTTGGCGCAAATTATCAAAAGTTTTATCAAGTTTCTTAGATCTAAACCAATGATCGAATAAATCTTCTTTCTCTCGTGAAAATTCAACAAATGTTTGATTATCAAACTTTCTATACTTTCTGAACTTTTGTCTATACGCTTCAGGTACTAATTCATAGGCTTTTAATATTGCTGATTTGACCTTCTCATAGTCTGAACTCTCAACTACCCCTAGTGCAGAGTATACCTCAGCCGCTTTTCCAACCAGTACACTTTGTAACATCGTTGACCAAACATTTCGTGGCCATTTAAGATTCTCTGCGACTTTTTCGAATTGGGGAAAATATTTATCTACAGATTTTTCTTGAAATTTTGGAACTAATCTGATATTTTTTGCTGCGTCAAATTCAGTTTTGACAACTGACGGTCCTAGTTGGTTCTGTAATTTTAATTTCTCTAATTCAAAGTTCATTTCACGCTCTCTTTCTCGCTCTTGTCTTTCTCTTTCTCGCTCTTCTCTTTCTCTTTCTAATTTGTCTAATTCAAATTTCCGTTCACGCTCTCGTTCTTCAAATCTCATTTTTTCCAACTCTACTTGATACTGAAATTCTGACATATTATAAGATTCTGATTTAAGTGTATAATCTGGAAGATCATTTTTTCCAAAGATGTTTTCTTCAACTAGTTTGTTTGCAATCTTTATTCTAATGTCTTGCTTTCTCTGTGAAGATTTAACCTCTAACCCAAGATGCAAACCTAACGCGATCAAGTCATCCTTTTTTAATGTATCAAAAACCTGAACACTTGGCGAATTAAGAAAGTCTGTGACCGAAAATACCATGTTGATTTCTGCTGGCTTATAATCAAATGTAATGGTTCAATTAACAAAATTTTGACAATAAACTGCAAAAGTGCAAGAAATTCTTTATCCCGGACGAGCCCCCAATTCTGTTATGGGTCAGAATTACCCGAAATGCCAGCAAAGATCAATAACACAATTTAAACTTAACAATAATTTATTTACAGTAATATATAATAAGTATATGAAACATAAAGTACAAACTTAGCAAGAATCTAAGAATACATACATCAGAGTGTCCGTTGCTGCACACAATGTCCCAGTGAAAATATATCCCAGTAATACCTCAATGATGCTTATATGACAATATCTCTATGCATCGAATTGACAGGGTATTTATACAGTATTATAAATCTAGAATATTCTAGAAGTTGTAAGTACATGATATTACTGGAAAGTTCTGGACATACACAAAGTTCAGGAATGTTCTAGAAACAATGACCGAACATGTTGACCACTCTGGAATGTTCAAGAAACTTAATGTTACTAATAATAGACATGATGAAACAATACAAATACAACACACCTCACAACATAAATAACAATTTTAAATTTTGATTCTCGCATATAACAATACTTACACATTGTAACCTTTTGACCCCCAACGTGTGTTATGGTGTTTTGAAATAAAAATAAAACAATAAAAATAACAGTATTGATCTACGGTCTACGATGACGTATTTTCTGAATTCAAGAGCAGAAACATCTGATTTTTAAATGATTATCTGAAGCAATAAAAATATTGATCTTCAAAAAAATATTTTTTTTTATTTAAGCTAATAATCTAGAATCATTTCGTTACTTGCCACACCTAAAATTCAAGCAATCTAAATTTATTTATGGTATAATGAGATTTGTGGAAAGAAATATTTAGTACGTCTCACTTCAACTATTTAGCTTATTTTCTCTATGATATTAAAAATAATAATTTCAATTTAAGCGGTTTTAAGTAGATTAAAGGATAATAAATGTTCATCCATTTAAAATACTGCATGGGTGGAAAAAGATGAGGTTATGTTTTTAGAGAGAAGTATAATCTTAGATGTAGTGTACTACAAAACATGACCATCAAATATACCTCTGTTTTTTTTATAAACTTCTTAACATCTTTATTACAATGAAACCTGTCTTATCCGACATGCACGGGGAAGGAGATTACAAATGTATGTTTCGGAATAAAAAAAAGGTGTAATATTGCAGCGTATAAAGATCATTGACATAAGTAGAAATTAGAAATGAAATTAAATGGCAGAAACCACAGTAAAGCGTTCTGCACTTGTGTCGGATTAAACAGGTTCCACTATAAGAGGCTTAACAATAAAGTAATATTCATCCTAATTCTTCGTCCGGACATCTTCATTTACCAGTGTTTGTAAATAACAACGAAATATTTCTTATTTCAAATTTATTACAACACATATAAAGTACATCTTTTACTGAATGCTTTCAGTATTGCTTTATAGAACAGTTCAACAACCCTTCCTTTACCGAAAACATCTTTGTTTACATGTTTGTTACTTGATGTTTAATATTTTTTAAAAAATAATTTAAAATAGTCTCTTGAGGGTTTGCATAATCCATGGATGAGCTTTCATCTGTTAAAAAAAATCAAATTAATACTTCACAGATACATGTATAATAGCATATTTTTTTCTATATAAAAAAAATTATAACTGAAATTTTCACAGTAATACAAAAAAACAACTTGCTATTAAGATTTAATGAGTTTTACCTATTGTCGCTTTATCATCATGGTGGTTCCCTTCACCGACGTCCCATTCGGTACTGTGGGATACCATGGGTTTTCCCAGTACTCCGGGGACCATTGACCGTTAAGGAAGGCCCAATGACACCAGTTAAACCACCACCCTCCCCTAATGTAACTGTGAGCAGCACAGTTACCAGGGGACCCGTCGTTATCTCTGTCCGGGGTGGAGAAGAACATCCCAGACAGATCATAGCTTATCATGCTGTTTCCTGAAATACAATATTTTAACAATATAAATAGACACAACAGTCATCTCCTGTCAATCTGTCATTATCCCTGTCTGGGTGGTGAAGTATATCCCAGACAGATCAGCCCAAGAATAATCAGTGTCTAACATACTGTCCCCTGTAAATTCAAACAAATCACAGAGATAATGGATTTATATATTTTCAATTTAATTTTCATTCATAATACTGAGGTACTTCTAAGATAGACGACTTTAGGTGCTGGAAAGGGCGATAATATCTACTTAAGAACACAATGCAATGCTTTGTGTAACCCATTTAGCATCCTTTCTAATGTATCAATAAACTTTGTTTGTTACACTTTAAAGTTTGACTAATAAAAAAAAATGATTTTTTAAAAGGGTCACTGGAAAATGAAAAGTGAAAAAAGGATCCAGTACAGAATGCACCCCCAAAGTGTATAAAATGTGATTCGCAGGAAATCATTCAGAATTATAACAAGCTAAGAAATGATGTACTGTTTTCAATTATTGATTTTCATTTAAGTCTTTACAGTTTAATGAAATGTGATGCAACATAAAGTACGCTTAGTTTTCACATTGGAAATATATCGTTTCCTTTTTACCGCAAACACTTCATAGCTCGGTACAAGTTTTTCTAAAACTTAGTGTTAATACTTATGACGTAATAATTAAGTGTTGGCAACGAGTACCCGGTTAACTGGTTAAACGTTGAACGATGCTGGTATCGGTTAGTAAAACTTCTATTCGATTACTCGGTTATTCGGTTACTCGGATAAAAATGCATCTTATATAGTAGATAACAAAAAAAATGAAATGTTAATTTGTTAATAAGCGTATACATAAACATTTCTCAAGTTTTCTTTACACTTAGACTTTATGATCTAATGTGTCACTTAAACGATCGATTTCTTTTGATTACTTTTCACAGTTAATTGATAGCTTTGATTGCCATCAGGTTATACAATTTTTTATACCCGAGTTTTAATTACCTCATTAAATAAATCAACAAGACATACATGTATGGCTTGGAAGTATTTCAAGAGGACATCTGATTCGATACCTGTAAAATGTAAGTTAGACAAGACAAGACTTAATTCTCATAAACTGTATAAAATAGTACAAAGAGGATATTACATAACATATTTACAAAAAAGCGATAAAGCATTTGAATTGGAGTTATCTTGTGGGCTTGTGACTTAAAATTTCCAAATAATTATTCTCCTTGATCGTGATATATATATATCGGGGATCGCAAAGTAAAAGATGATGAACCGTCATTAAAAAATAGCGTGAAACATTAATTAAATATTTAGTTTTCTTACGATGAAATTAATTGTTTGCTTACTATATCATAATTCTTTCAAGATTTTGCTTGTGAGTGTATCTTTAAGTTTATAAATAAAGTTCATTCACTCACAATATATCTGTGTTTTATCACTAAGGATAAGTTAAGAATAAAAAAAAACAATAAATGATAGATATGAATATTATCAAATTATCCGAGTAACTGGGTACTCGATCGGAAGATTGAGTGAGTACCCGATTACTAAAAATCGCCCGATTTGCCAACACTACGAAATATATTTAATAAAATGATAACCTTTTAATTTGAAAATTTAACAAGTTTAAAAAAGAGAAATTGGCATTAAATTGAGGATTCGCTGTTCTTTGAAAGAAGTGTTATTGCTGGGATATGGTACATACGTGAGTTTGCGTTAAAAAATAAGAATATATTAATGCTATATGCGTTTAAATGCGTGACTAAGGGGAAGACAGCCTTACAATGTCAAGGGTTTGTGATTTCTCGAACTCCACACAAATGTTGAAATCACAAACCCTTGATATTTTGAGGATGCTGGGAGAAGGAATAAAATATAAATTAGGTAATGTTAAAGTGTAAAGGTTCCAAATCATTTTTTTTACATCAAGCTATCATGAACATTTTGTGATATCGATAACTCTCTGAAAACTTCTTATTCCCTCGAAGCTAAAAATGTTAATCATGAAAAATTCTCAAGAAAACAGCCCGAACAACAATGGCGGACCAAAGATAGCTACTGCGTATGCTAGTTACCAATACATTTGATTTTACAGCATGATCGTCTGTGTTTTTAGAAAAAAAAAATCAACTACCTAGCAATAACTGATAAAATGTCTTTGGAAATTGTGAATTGTACATACATGTACAAATGATATCGTGAAATTTCTAAACGATTTATTAAAACGTTATACAATATTAGAGTAAAAAATTGTATTTTAACTTTATATACAACAACTTAATATTTCAATTTAAAGATACATGATTTTTTTTTTTAGAAATTAAGTTGCATACACTTACCTAAAGTCCCCGTGGCAGGTCCTGCAAGAAAGAGTTGATATTTCCCTGCTTCGTCGGACACAGAGAATCGGTCGTACATTTCATAGAGCGTTGTACCATTCAGGAGAGTGATGGACACATACAGGGATGAGTTGTTTTCTTTAGTTAACAGATGGATAAAGTCATTTCCTGTATTAAGATATATTTTAAATCAAGTGTAAAGTTCATTACAAGAGAAAAATTATTTTAGATACAAATATTCATTTATGAAAAAGAAATCAAATTATTTTAAGCTGTAAATATTGATGTTGAATATGGTGTCTTTCAAAGACCCTCGAGCGATTTTATCCTTTCCCTGTCCTTCTAATTTAAGATTTCAATGAAGAATATTGAGATAACGAACAGTTTTCAATATCAAAGTCCTTAAACAATACAAAATAAGAGCAAGCACTGACTTCTCAAACATCAGAGGGGATCAGATGCCATGAAGAAGTGAGCATCCCCTGTTGACCGGTCACATCAGCCGTGTGCTCCTTGTCATGATCGAGAAATAACGGACACGATCACAGAGAATTGTAAAAACATATTACCAAGTTTAAAGATAATATCTTTGATACGCTCCCATTCATTTATCTGTAACAATGAAGAAATGTTGTCTATTTTGAAGTGAATGAGAGTCCCTATTTGAAAGTATGTACACTTACCAACCCAGACATCTTGTTCTGGTAAACCGAAACCATATTTATATTCCGTCCAGTACCTGTCAAAACTGAGGGGTCCGGTAACTCGTTTTTGAATTGCCTTTAAAAATAAACAGATATAGCAATACAATTCACTGTTTTGAACAATTGTAGGAACAATGTTGATGAATTCTACAGTCTTTTAAACAACAAGAATACTGAATGTGAGTAATCTTATGTGCTTCTAAATCTGAAATGAACTACACACCGTCCATCCCCCGCCCATTGTCGTCATATCGCAGAACGCCTGGACAGAACTGGTAATGGTACAATCAGGGTAAATGTTATACACACCAGAACTTGTATTGCCATCTTCATAAAGATCCTTACAATCTAAGGGAATAGCTGAAAAAATTCTTGAATCGTTTTTCTGCATACAGGTATTAATAGGACACGTGTGAGATGCAAATACAGGTATTAATAGGATACGTGTGAGATTCATTAAGGTTAATTATTAAAGATAAATTGTGTGCTTTGATGTAGTTCCAATGTAGATAACGATAAGCTCTTTCTCATTACCTGAAATTATTTTGGTTTTCTAATTGTATCAAATTTATGATTTGTTAAACATATAATTAAAGAAACTAAGTAAAAATAATACTTTGTCGGTTATTCAGACATTATTTGTATCTCTAACTGGCAGTAATATTAAAGAGGAATTCATTTAAAAGTAAGTACAGAATATGGATATAATAATAAGACAGTATAAACCGAGGTTTCGTGTGGTAGAAAGTGTTTGCACGAAAAAAAGATCCATCAATGCTCAATGACCGTTAAAGTGTCTAGTATAGGCATTTGCAGCCCAAAATCGGCAAGTGGTGTTGTTCTAAATGTTTATGAAAAATTGTAAAGAGTGACCTTATATAACAAACAACCGAAAAAGCAAACAGACAGAAAAAATAACCATTATACATACGACGGGGAAATAGATAACAGTCATACATTCAACGGGAAGAAAGATAATTGTACATAAAAGTGATAATCAAATAAAAATTATACGTTCAACATGGAAATAATAACAGTTATACATACAACCGGTAAGTGAATAACTTTGATGAGAGTAGTATCTGAAGCCTTCCTCCTTAGTCATCCTAGATGAGCAAACCTTTTTGTGTGTACGACATTTCTTCGTTTGCGAGTTGAAACCAAAGATGATGCATTCTCTTAGACACTTCGCGGCGCACTCGGTCAAAGAATGAGAATTCTGTTCTCCCAAAAACTCGTACTTTGAGATTTTATTACTCAACTCCAGTTTTGCTATATATTTCTGAGAAAAAATGGTAGCTTCGGACAGCGCTACGCAGGCGACAATTGAAGTGATAGTACACAAATTGCTCATTTCTTGTTTTTCTTTCTTTTCTGAAGAAAAAAAATAATTGATATGTTCTTGTGAATCTGTAAAATTTTGCCGAATGGTCCTATAACTGCCAATTATAAAAATCAGAACCTTAATCAATACCTGAAAAATGATTGGCTGTTACGTAATCTATATTTTACTGCTGTTTGAATATCGATTTTATTGAATTTAATATGAATTGTCAAATATGCTTACTTTAGAATTGCAATTCAATTTCACTAATGTTATGTCATGCTTTTTAAGAGTGGTTTTTTTTAGTAAACTGTCTTTACAATTTTGTAATTTTATGAATATTTTTCGTCATTACTTAACGCTGAATGAAATTAAAATTCAGCTTTTTTGAAATGCAAGTTGAAAAAAACAAACAATTATCTGATTCTTCAAAATAGTGAGGCTCAACTTTTTTTTTGGCTTGTAGGAAAATGTTGAAAATGCGCATAGAAACAGACAAGTTTGCGGAGTTATTTCTTTTCATATACCTCTGCTCCTATGGGTATACTGATATACTATTTTATGATTGAATAATTTCCATCTCTCTGATTGGCTGAATTCCAACTATGTTAGAAAATACTACAAAAATTAAAAATTGCGTAAGGAAAAAAAATTATGCACGTGCAATTTTAAAAGCAATTGTTTAAAATATCTGGATAAAAGCATGTTCGTCAATACACTTAAGTATACACTAACAACTTAATTTACAACCTCAAATGACGTCAGATTTTTAATTTCCGATATTGACAAGGAGCAAATGGAGGAACTGAACGTTCGGCAGGGGATGCTTACTACTACTACATGGCATTTGATTCCACCAACTGGCAGATTTTTTTTGATGTTCGAGTTAGCTCTGCTTCTATTCAGTTTATTGTTTTATGTACTTTTGAGCTTAAGTACTATTCGCTATCTACATATATTTTATTACAGTTATTACCCTCTATTAGGTTGCTGTGCACACTAAATATATGAAAATGTGAGAAAAACATATCAACATTTCTGTTGTACGCGAATTGAAACTTATTCGAATGAAGTTCAATCCACCAGTCTAAACTGATATCGTCGGTTGGATTATAAGTGTTTTGTCCTAATAGGAAATCTATCGGCAGGTATGGGTCGCGTCCGTACATCAGGTAATAAGATGCATATCCAGTTGATGAATGAGGCGTCACTTTGTACGTAACACGAGCTCCTTGATTTATCCTGGCCACTTCCGCTTCCTCACCGGGGATAAAGGTTGAAGTAAATCGTGTAGCGTTCTGTTGAAGCGTTCGAACTGTCCGTTTCATTTAGGGTGGTAAGCAGTCGTTCTTGTCTTTTTAATGCGATAAAGGGTACACAGTAGCTGAATAACACAAAAAAATTTCCCTGGTCTAAATGTAAACGTTTACAAACTCAAAACTTAAAGAAAAACTCGTTCACTAACGCTCTGGCTACCGTTTGGACTGTCTGATCTCGTGTAGGAACGGCTAGAGTCGACTGTTGCAACCACTATTGAAATAATTATATCAATAGTGGTTGAGAGTGCATTTCAATAGCAAACATAATTAGTAACCACTATTGAAATACGATCACTATTGAAATAATTATATCAATAGTGGTTGAGAGTGCATTTCAATAGCAAACATAGTTTGTAACCACTATTGCAATAAGACCACTATTGAAATAATTATTTCAATAGTGGTTGAGAGTGTATTTCAATAACAAACATAGGTAATAACCACTATTGAAAAACGACCACTATTGAAATAATTATTTCAATAGTGGGTGAGATTCCTTTTAAATAAGAAACATAGGTTGCAATCACTATTGAAATAATGTTCACTTTTGAAAGTAAGATTTCAATATGGAATAAATTATGGTTTTTGTTTTGAAGTATATTCAGCAACTATCAAAATAGTTATTTAAATCACTTTTGAAGTTTTTATTTCAATAATTATCGAAATCTTCATTTAAGAACAGATGATACAAAAAATATATGGATGCCTGGATTGGTGTATATAATTTTTGGTCTAATTTAATTGAAAATGATGCAAATAATAAATTTCTAGAATATAATGAAATTTTGCCTCACTAAAACCATCCTTATTAATTTATGCACTTTAATAATAAATCTATATATTTTTCACTCCAAATCCAATTTTTTCGAAATTTTGGATAAAAAATTAAAAATTACGCAGGGAAACGTTTCTTTCTATTCTGGTTGTATTTCAATAGTGGTTTAAACCTATGGTCATCATATTGAAATCCCCACTATTAAATATTTATTTCAATATTACTCGTATTTCAATAGTGGTTTAAACCTATGGTCATCATATCGAAATGCAGTCTCACCCACCATTGAAGTAATTATTTCATGAGTGATCATATTTCAATAGTGGTTAATAACCTATTTTGTTATTGAAATGCACTCTCAACCACTATTGATATAATTATTTCAATAGTTGTCGTATTTCAATAGTGGTTATTACCTATGTTTGTTCTTGGAATGCTCTCTCGCCCACTTTTGATATAATTATATCAATAGTGGTCGTATTTCAATAGTGGTTACTAACTATGTTTGCTATTAAAATGCACTCTCAACCACTATTGATATAATTATTTCAATAGTGGTCGTATTTCAATAGTGGTTACTAACTATGTTGCTATTAAAATGCACTCTCAACCACTATTGATATAATTATTTCAATAGTGGTCGTTATTTCAATAGTGGTTGCAACAGTCGACTTTGAGAAAACATCTTTGATCACTAACACATTCTCAAATCCGTGGGCTTTTTCCAACACAGAAAAATCTATCGCTAAACACTCCGGTTGATCTGATGCTGTAAGGTGTCTCATGATGGTATGCACTCTGGGTGGTGAAATCTTGGAAACTTCACAACGGTCACATTTTTTACATAAGTTTTTAATATTCAGAAACATTTTGGCCAATAACACCGCTTTGGAATCATATTGAATGTTCTTTTATAACATTGGTGACCATTCTGATCATGGATACACTCTAACACTAAGTCCTTCATACACTCTGGAAGTAGAATCTGCGTAAGCTCTCCGAATTTTGGATCTTTGATCTTCCTGATAATAAAAACATCAGAAAAATACAAGGATTTTAACTACCTTAACAAAACGTGCACTTTTTGTACTGTTTTTTCGAAAAAACTCGAATAAAGAACAGTGTTTATCTCCAGAAAATTCGTATACTTTGAAATCACTGCGTCTTTTCTTTGTAATTCACCATTCTAATCCTTTGAATATCAAAAAAAATGTTTCTGCATTTATGACAGTAGCTGACTCAATGAATAACACTGAAGAATGCGCAGCTTTAATATCCAAAGGAACAATAGATCCATGAATGCCTTCACTGAGAACATCAACACTTTTCATGGGAAGTCTTGACCATGCGTCTGAGTTGCTCTTCTGTTTTCCCGGTCAGTATTTTATCTCAAAATCAAAATCTGCCAGTTGGGAAGCCCATTTCTGTTCAGAAGCACCAAGTTTAGCTGACAAACGGTATTTCAACGGGTTGTTGTCTTTTAGTACCACAAACTTGTTTCCTAGAAGATAGTTTATGAATTTCTCCGTCACACTCCATTTTAGTGCTAAAAGTTCAAGCTTCAGGTTACTTATGGTCTTGGCGGAGTGTTCATTAGGCCAAATTTAAGAGTTCTGCTGCCATATTTAATAACAACAGAACGTCCACTTTGCACTTGAGATGACACAGCTCCTAGTCAATGTTAACATGCATCAGTTTAACAATGAATGGTAATGTAAAGTCGGCGTATCCAAGTATCCAAGCTCTGTTTTCAGCTGTTCAAATGAATCCTGACAACTTTTAGTTCACTTATCACCAAATTTTGTCTTTGGATGTTTCATATTAACTTTAGC